TTTTTCCTGCTTTTTGCAAATTGTTTTGTCACAGACGTGCAAAGCTTCAAATATTCAATATTGCTTTAAGCCAGGTGCTGCCTTTGATGTGTGACTGGCAGGTTTATATTCGCTATTTAGCAAAGAGAGAATGGTTTTTGATTGATTTGGTGCTCGTGGCTCGTAGGTGTATTGATAGTCCAGCAGCATCCTGCACAGACTGACTATCCACTATCTTATATTCTGGGATGAAGGTGATGTGGGGAAGTTTTAGATCAGGTGCTTAAAAGCTCATCTGGTTCAAACACACAGTCCTTGACCTTGGAATTTCCACAACTTACACTACACGCCATGGTTAGTATTATTTTTTAGTTTTAAGTTTGTTTACATTAATTACAGTCCTTTCCTGATTTACATTGAGATCTGCGTATGGAAACTTCCCTGCCATTCCCACATATGGATTTCAGATTACATGTCCTGTAGCTTTAATTCCACTTTGGCCAAAATTTCACATACATTATTCTTATTCATTTTTGGTGAGTCAAAACCTAAATGTGCTCTGGGGTATTTGTCAAGATGCTGTGACAAATGCGTCAAAATCAAAGCTAAACCATGGATACTGGCTGAACACTAGAAAAAATTACAATACAACTGCCACGCAATGGCAGTGACATTGAGTATTAATGCCATTGTTTGGTGAAATAATCTGGCATGTGATCAGTTTCATTACCATTGCCCTCACACTCCAAATATATCCTTGATGTGTTTAATTGGCGCTGGTCTCCCAAACCAACAAAAACACGGTCAATCAAAGCATGAAATCTACCGAGTCATGTGTGACGGAAATGCAGGGACCCCATTAAGCTTTGCGCCTTTGAAACATCAAAGCATTGTCATTCTAATGTGATGACAACTTCTCTTCTCACTGCCATCTCATCCGCACTGTCAAGACTGTAAGCAAGTGCTAAACATAGAGAAGAGAAGAGAAGAGAAGAGAAGAGAAGAGAAGAGAAGAGAAGAGAAGAGAAGAGAAGAGAAGTCTTTTGGACATAGGTTTGTTGTGGATTTCTTTCTCTTCTCTGTGTCCAAAACTTTTCCAAACATTGGGACACTGGGTGCTTCAAGCTACAGACATCCAAGATACTCTCATCTCTCCTCCATGTTGTGCAAACAAGCACGCAACGTCCAGATGACAAAAGCACTGTGAGCCAAAGCCAATTATATCACAACCTCACTGCTCGCTACAGAACAGAAATGAGGCTGTTCACTTTAATTACCAAACCATAAATTGCTCATTGTAGACTAACACATGATTTTTTTTTCCTATTTAACATGAGCAGAATCTTGTTTTTCTATTATCTACATTTCAACATCCAACACATCCTGTTGACTCATTTTATTTTTTATTGTAACCGTCTATTCATTTCCATAAACGCGTATACTACACAACTGAAGCTATCTAAGTGTGTGTGTGTGTGTGTGTGTGTATGGGTGTGTTTGTTATCTACCTCTCTTGTCCCTGACCGGAATAATGACCTGAGCAGGTGGTTGAAGCAACATGAGACTGAGCTCCCAGGACACTCACACAGCCATGCTAAACACACACCACTGTGCTGCGAGAACATGCACCTGTGATCTGAATACCTCCTACAGTGTCAGTGTGCCTGATATGACAGATGTGTGTGTGTGAGTGACATTCATATTTATGCATCTGTACTTCACTTTCCCTGAACACACACATGAACACACACACACATAAATGCCACATATACATTTAAAAAAAAAAAAAAAAAAAAAAACTGAGAATGTGAAGCGAATGTTGAAAGAAAAAGAAAAGCACAGCTAATTCTATGCGGAGGCTGTTTGCTATGCGGCTCTTACCACCGGGGGTGACGCATGTTTCTTTGATATGACATCACTGAATGACGTTACATATTGCTATGTAGTATGCATAATTTGACTGCAAGAGACGTGCTAAGGATCTGCTTGCGTGCTTGTTTGTGTGCATGTATCCTATTCAGAATATATGGATACGTGTGCGCATGGATACAGTATCTATGAGCATGTGCATATACAGTACACGTGTGAGTGTATATATACTGTATGTGTGCAGGGTTTCACTGTGTAAATGTGTATGAATTTCTCCCTCGAGGATGAAGCTTCTCCACTTTAGAGTCTGTATGTGCTGACAGAAGAAGCAGAGCTATACCAGTGGCTGTATTATGAAGCCAGAGAGGCAGTAGAGGGACTGATACGGGTATCAAAGCCTGCCTCTTTGCCTTTGTGCCTTTGTGTGGTGGCCATCAAAGACTTCCATAGCCATCCTGGCATCCCACAGGATTGGCCTCTTATATAAGAACACACCAGCCAGCATACTGCAGGAGTGGCGCCGAGGGAGTGGGGGTGGTTTGTAGAGGGAGGAAGAGGTGCACTAAATATTCCTCAGATATTTCCCTTTTGCATCCTGTTTTTTGAGTTCATTTCATTCCTTTATTATATCTGTCCTTCTTCATCATGCTTTCTCTTTGCTCCTTTACTTAATTTTATTAGATGGATAAATATATCCATGGAAACATGCACTGTACTATCCGCTATTTATGTACCAGTTTTTTGTTCTATACAATATTTATCCAAGTACCGGTATGTACTTTGTGTATTTCTGCATGTATGCATGGATGAACTGATGAGTATATATGAGGATGCATGTACAGTATACGAAAGCGATGCAGTCAGCTGGGTAGCTCAGTGGTTAGCAAGCTAACATACATCCTGTAGGTGGAGGGTAACAAAAAGTAAAGTTATAAGCTGATATCATTTGAAGTTTACGTTCTACTTTGGTGCATGAGGTAACCTCTTTTATGAATGAAGAGATTAAAAATCAGACTAAAAGTGCCATTTAATCCACCAAATCTAAGCTGCACTGTGCCGGTGCTTAATTCCGTTGAGCTAAGCAGCTATGGAGGTACAATAGTCTGATGTAATGCCGCAAAGAATTCCTCCAGGTTTTTCAAAAGGGATAACATCTTGTTAATGTAGCATGTCTTGGTAAAGAAATGCTGTGGTGAGGGGAAACTGAGGGGGGGGGGGCAACCTCAAAGTCCCAACAACAACAGTGATTCACAATTTCTACAAAGTGGGAACAGACAACATTCATCAATTTTCAATAATATAAAACTATTTTAAATTGTTTGTTGAAGTCACATGCTGTATACAACCTTGGTCTTGAATATTCTTTTTACTATTATCTTGAATTGGGTCTCAGTCTTAGTCTTGACCACCTATCTCACCTTCTGCAGTTTTTATTATTTTTGGCTGCTTTTTCTTTCCTTTCATGTCCTGTCAGTCAGCTGTCACTTCCCCATAGAGACACGCAATTCTTAAATATAATGTGAACTGTACAACATTGTCATTTCCAAAGGCAGGCGATGCTTGTTTTCCACAGTGTCAAGTTTTTAATTTTGGATATACTGTTCTATGCACAAGAAGATATACCACCATGATTAATCATTTACTTAATCATATATTCTCACTATTTTAGCAAATGCAACATTTTCGACTCCTTTACATATAAGCTACATCAATTTCTATATCGGAAGGAACATGAGCCTTCAGCAATATAGCTTAAACCAGTCGATATCAGTTCAGCACGCACAGGATCTAATTAGCAGGACTACACCACCATTTTTCCTGTTCCTATCTCATTTTAAATTCTGCTAGAGCCAAAGGACTATATTGAGTGACTGAAGCTTTATCACAGTTGACTTTCACTGTGAACAACAGTTCATCACAGCATGAAGAATATTACATCGAAACGCTTTTCTTTTTTTGACCTGGTTGTCTTAATAAAACCTTTATTTAAACAGAAACAGGACATGTTCATGCTAAAGGCCCTGTTATAGGAACAGAGGGAAATTAATACAGCATGTGCACTGCTGAGGAATCCAATTTAAACTGTCACTGTCAACTGACATTAAAAAGATAAAAGCTCACTGTGCTAGCTGGCATAAAGATGGAAGACACAAAATTATACCGCTCGCCAGCAAGAAGTGACTGCATTGCCGAAGTTATCTACTCTGTGTTGAATTAACCAGAGTTAAAACTACAATCTGTAGCTCTCCATCTTAGAAACCCAGTGACCAACACTCTGTTTTCACCAAGACTGTGATCGTGCCTCGAGGGGTAGGAAGTGAAATCTGTGGGATCGTTCTATCGCAGATGTCCCGCCTGCTCAGCTCATTCCCCATGCAAGTTCCATAAGGGCATTTGTCAGTTGGTCAGCCATCAATGAATAGACACAACAGGGGTTTACAAGGGTAGTGACACACAGACAGGCACAAATGATGAGTGTGTGCAGGTGAGTATGCATGGTGATGCCAGGGAAAAGATTACTCAGGCATGTTGCTCTAACTGTCTGAAGCCATCCTTATCTTGGCAATCTTTGTTTTCAGGATATGTTTGCTGTCTGTGATTACAATATACAACAGTCTGTGTGTCAGTCTGTCTGTCTATATACATATCAATCTATCTATTTCTTATTGCATACAGGTCTAATTGGCTCGGGGTAAATTTCTCTTCGCTGCATTCACTGTAAACAACAGACCATCTCCAGCACTTAGACAGATTGGATTCAATTACAGTCTGCTACGCTCTGAATATCAGATAAGACAAAATTACACAACCGTTCTCAAGGTGACAAGTTGAGTGAATGCCTGATGAATCTAAAGCAGCAGCCAAGGACACAGACTGCCTGCTTTGCCAAGAAGAAAGCACTGCAGAACTGTCTCACTGTATCAGAGCTGCTCTCAAGGCAAAGTCTGAAATATACGTATTAACTAAATAGGCTTTAGCATAATAGAGTATCTTAAATATTGTGAGCAGGGTTCACACAGGGTGCCACATAAATTTTATACAGTAATATTACGTCAGTTTCTTTGCTTGTTTCTCCAACCCTGAGAGAGGAAAAGCTTTTAAACTGTGGGTGTAGGGGATTTTTACAGTGACTCCCATTACAGTTGGCTTACCAGTATCTTGGTGGTATAGGCGCTGTTGATGGAGATGGAATTGATCAGTAACTCCAGTGATTTGGGTGGCAGGGCTCCAGGATCCGGGATTTCTTTGTAGTGCACATCCCCGACGTAACACTGCACAGCCGTCATGCGGTTGGTCGTTAGCGTGCCTGTCTTGTCAGAGCAGATAGCGGTAGCATTGCCCATCGTTTCACATGCATCCAAGTGACGAACCAGGTTGTTGTCTTTCATCATTTTCTGTTGGTAGGAAACAAAATGATGATTGTGTCACGTTGCAATGCATATTCGAAATGCTTTAAAATAACTGAAATGCGCCTGAATTAGCCTATCACGCACTTGAACTGCTTGAACTTCAGTGGCTAGAATAGCTACCAATATAAAAAGAGGGATGTCTGTGCTTACATAACATGTGTAACTGCTTATATAATTCACAGCAACAGTCTAAGAAACAAAATGCTTTCCACACGTGGCCTTCATCAGAATTTCTTTTTCTGTTTGTGGCTGTGAATGGTATGTAAGTATGTTGACACAGTGCAAGAACTAAATACAAAGAATCCTCACGTATGCAAGCAAATCACAATTCTCAATCCGTGTGAGGGGCAGAATATTCTCTGCAGCAGTGAAGTAAAGCTCAGAGAATCAACTCGCAGTGGGTAAATAAATACACTACTTAATGCATACAATGTAAATGGACAGCCTTTAAAGTAGAGATACAACAGTACCACAGTGTATGTACAGCATGTGGCATTGCTCACCTTGACAGAATATGCCAGGGAAATGGTGACAGCCAGAGGCAGCCCCTCTGGCACGGCCACCACCAACACAGTCACACCGATGATGAAGAACTTGACAAAGTACTGAATGTAGATGGGAGTGCACTCTGGCATCCAAGGGCGCTTCTGCATCACAAAGGTGTCAATGGCAAAATACAGGACCAGGATGATGACAGTGATGGCCGACATGAGCAAACCTGAAAAAGATGGAACAGGTATCAGCTGAGGAAAGGAATGAAAACACCTTTCTAAAACAGTTTCAACATAATCTTCATGAAGGGAGAATTTGTTCCGAGGCTGTTGAATTAGAGTGCATTACTTTTAGCTAGGAGTACCTTATAAGCTGATAACCTAGAGCATACTCACTTGTGGGTTTTGGGCATTGCCAAAAAGGAAAAGACTGGACAAACCATAACCATAAATATTCATCACTCTTTTTTCCATTGTTGAATGTCTATGATTCGTCTTTGTAGGTGTAACTACATGCTAGTATTTGTGGGGAAAATTATTATGTGCGAATGACAACTTGTAATTTGTCACAGAAAAAGATTTCCTACAGAAGCTGTATAGCCAGTCCTTTACATCAAAAGTGGCAGGTAGATTTCTGTTGTACCTCATCTTGCTGCTTAAATGAAGGCCAATGTAATTAGATTAACGGAGCAAATGCAATTCAGTCATGTATGCATTCTTTTCATTTATTATACTGACAAGTATATCTGGGGTTTTTATTCCTTCTCTGATGGATAATGAGGCACACCTGGTTCAGGTAGATACAGACCAGGTGTGGCTTAGCCACAGTAAAGTACAGCACATAAATACAGACACAGATACCAGAGGGTCACAGTCCTGGAAGTGTAGTAAGTCCAAATATTTTCTGCCAGACCCGCAGGAACACCATATGATCTTACAGTGCTGCTTGTATGCTAATCCATCCATGGTATTTCATTGTTTTGACATCCCGTCCTCATTCCATCCCTCAGGCCAACAGTCTGATATAACAGTGCACTGTAAAAACATGGACTTCTTCTGAAAATGTCAAACCTTCAAGGTTTTTTTTAATCTCCCTCAATAGCTATAAAGGATTATTTTGAGGATTTTGGTGATTCTACGTTTAAGAATTCTAAATTCTCCAGACTGGTCCAGAAACCTTTGCATTTCATGGCTAACATTTGTTCAACCGTAATCCTACTATGTTGCTGCCGAGAGGACACCCACAATGTGGGCACACTGGCATGTGGGCATCTGTTACTAAAAATGCTTGCTGGTAGAGATCTACTGCAAGTGTTAGACATCCACTTCTTGGTGCCATAAATTTCTTTAAATTAAATTACAAACAATTGATTATAATATGGATGGTTAAATTGCAAACCTGAACAAGATGCATCTCAGTTGCTCCCACAACAATTCAACAAGTCACCGGAGGACAGGTCATTTAGAAAAATAAAGTGCACAGTCTCGTTTACTGTTCTGTAATTCTGCCACTCAAGCATTCTTCCTAACTGCTCTGATTGCTTTAAGCGACCAAGATGTGAGTCTTGTCTTAGTGCAACTTTTGATGGACAGGATGATGGTTCAGTACCTTGTTGTCCCTGATTTAACTGCCCAAGTGAGTGACGGACTTGTCTGTGAGCAATTTGCTGTACCTGCTTTGCCAATCTGGACAGCCAGTTTGGTCAGCTTCCCTTGCAGCACAGATTTCTCTTTCTTCGAAGTGGACACCTTCTTCCTCTCTTTTTCGTCGGCCTCTCCGCCTTCAGCGCTCTTTAGAGGCTGCATCTCCATGGCAGCTGCTCCATCCTGCTTCTTTACTGTAAATACCACATAAAAACAGAAAGCAGCAGTGTTAGAAATGGAGATTAAACCAAGGAAATGAGAAGGAAGAGGGAGCCAGACTTTAACACCCAGGTGTTACACTAGAAGCTCCAGAATTCAGGTTTAGACTAAACCAAGACAAGATCATATGAGGTCCCATGACAGCATGAGACTAACTGGTACGTGTAAACCATATAGCAAAATAAGGATTGAAGGATATACCTTCGGTGTAGCACATTTTACACAAGCAGGAAAAACTCAGTGTGCCTCACACAGAAAAGAAAGAAAAACTGATAAGTTAAAAAAGCAATAAAACAATAAAGATAAAAAAGATTCAATGAATCAAAATCAACAATATATCAGATTTTAAACCCTCTAGAGATCTGTTTTAATGTGTAGTGTAATACCTAAACATTGATCTGTACTTGTTTTGACTTGTTATTTTTATTCTGAAAACCTTTTGAAGACCAGTTTTCAAATCGCTTTGGAGGTTTAGAGGGTTCATGTTCTAAAAACAAGCCGCAAATACATTTTAGCAACTGATGTATTGATGTATAGCTCGCTTTAAAATCTGTTTTGCAGCAAAAAACGAAGATAGGCAGAGATCTCCGTTGCAGGTTAAGCTATCTGAACTTATATACTGGCATATGCTAACTACACTGAATGAAAGGTTGTCGACAGAATGAAACTTAAACATTGTTTAAAAGCTCTTCTCTGATAATCATAATGACAAGAAACGAATCTTTGGAAATCCCCAAATAGTAAAACCATGTGATCATACTTTTTACTGAGGCAAAGCATCTCATCAGGGAACAGGCTCGAGCACACAAAACACAATTACCCTGGACACAGTTACATGCATTTGAAATGACCTCTAGTAATTTCTTCCACTAGTCAAAATCAAAATCAAAATGACTGTTTAAGATCATTTTCTAAAACATATATTGACCCATGTGCATTACATATATGTAATCACTCTTCTCACTTAGACAGCAATTGATTCTGATTTATGCTGTTGAAACAAGGTCTTCTGTAAAAAAATACTGTTCAACTTGTAAAACCAATCCTCAATTACCTCGTCTGTCTGCATGTCTGTCCTCTCACTCACACACACACACCCACACCAATAGACACACACACAGTGCAGTGCAGTGCATGTCTTTTAATGTAACCCATTACCAAGAATCATTTCAGCCCAGTTTCCCAGTCACAATGAGGCATGTGTTTGATGCTTACGAAAAACCTTTCATTGTTGAGCATTTGTCATACTCTCTGGTTGTGCATTTTGGTTTTTCCACCTCCATGAAACTGGACAGACAGTGTATTGTCTGTATCTAGCTGTATGCAGCAGAAGAGCATGATCAAACAGTTCAAATTAATACACAAGACGAAGGTGCATCTTCTGAAAGCTACATTTCCTTCTTCATTAACCCTTTTGCTTTCAAGATACTTTGACTTTCTCAGCTTGTGTCTATTTTTTGCATCTCCCCATGTTTGGTTTTAAAAGAGTAAAACATACACCAATGAGCCAATACATTATGACCACTCACGGATGAATTGAATAACGTTCATTATCTTGTTACAATGGCGCATGTCAAGCTCTGGGATATATTAAACGCTAAGCAAAACAGTCAGTTCTCCTGGTCAAATTGTTGGATGCGGCAGAAACAGGCAGGTGTTAAGACCTGAGTGACTTTTACAAGGGCAGAATCGGGTTGGAGCATCTATGAAACAGCAAGGCTTATGAGGTGCTCCTGGTCAGCAGTGATGAGTACCTGCCAACTCTGAAACAGGGTGTTGGGGGAGGTGCTGGAACAAGTCTGATCTGCAGTGACACCTCACAACTTACAAGACATAAAGGATCTGCTGCTAATGTCTTGGTGCCAGATACCACAGGGCACCTTCAGAGGTCTTGTAGAGTCTGTGCATCAGCAAGTCAGAGATCGTATTTTGACATGAAATGAATCAATTTCTGAGCAAAAGGCAGAAGATAACAGTATCTCTGAGACTAACCGGGAAAGGCCTCTTTTCCTCCGAGCAGCTGCTTCACTCAGATTCACCCTGGGTCTGGGACCACAGCTGCCTGTACCAGTTGCAGGGACGACTTGACTTAATGAAATGATTTTAACCCGGAGAGCAGTGTGAAAGCGACCAGCACTCCCTCTGCAGCTATGCTCAACTTGAAGAATCTTGGTCGACTGAGGAGTCTCTGACTGATGATTTGAATCTTAGACTTTCAAGGGGCTTACCTAGATAAAATCTTCTGAAATGTAAAAAAAATTGCTTCCTTTTTCTGTTTTATATTATTCATAATTTAATTAATTTGGGGCTCTGAGTTTGTCAGGTACAATAAGTTATTTGAAGGTATCACTTTGGTTGCATCAAAAATGACACAGTATCCCTTTAATCTCAGACAAATTTATGTCATATTGCCTGAAGCAAATTTCAGTGGAACAAAAACAGTGGAGAGGGGAAAACCAGGGTGTGTGATATAACTTGGGGAGAGTACTAAAAGGACAGTTTGGGGTGTTGTTTGGTGGAAAAGGGTAGCCCGTGTGAGGCGCTAGTTGAGGAGCAGGTTGCTGTTCTCTTATCGAGAACAAGACAAGTCAACAACACAACAAGAACAACAACAGAACAACAGACCAGGGACAACACATTAGTGACAGACAGAGTGAGGAGGAGGATTTTCTAACCTAATATGGCTGCAGGTAAAACCTGGGTCAAATAAAAGGTCTAATTTCTTATATGATTTACAGTATCTAGGCTTGTCAGTGGTAGACTGACAGTGGACTGTCAAAGTCCCTTGTAATCCTTTCTGAGTTATTACTGCACAATCATCTGAGAGACCGTGTGGTATTTAGAACAATATACGCTGAAATAAATAAAGTAACAGAGGATTTTCCATCTGCATTTGACCCAGACCTTACACCACACACCATAGAAGGAAAAAGATGAGAAGAAGGAGGAGGAGGAAGAGATGAGGCAGGGGAGGAGAGAGTGAAAGATATGGTTTGGTTACCTTTAATCTGGTTGCTCTCCATATTGCCATCTTGCATTTTACCTATGATGGAGACATACAAGACAATAACAACAAAAATAACCAAGGCAGACAAGTCAACAAATTATCACCACAGAGACAACACACACAGTGAGAACCAAAAATCACAAACAAGGAGACAGGAAAATGACTTTTAATACAACCTCTCTGTGACAGTCACATAGAAAGGCTTGTGATATGTAAGTGATGTGATGTAACTAGCAGCTACACCAACTGGCAAGGGGTTAATAAAATAAAATTTAACTGAGAGTTATTCTAACACCAAACAGAGACACATACTGTTGTGTGCAGATTTTCTCATAATGAAGTGGGAGGAAATTAGGCTTTAATACACTTTATTTTATTGCATAAGCGAATAATCATGTTGCTTAATGGGCCTTTCTGAAATATAAATATTTTGACATCAAAGTATTTCAAGTGTGACATAATATGATGCAGAACATTTTTTTTTAAAAACTGCATACTTTCTGAAAAACTTTTCAGCTTTTAAATATTGTTTTGAATGACATACTCACAGGTAATTCCACACACATTATCAAAAAAATACGTGTCAAATTGTCAGGGTATAAAATGAGATATCAAGACATAGATAGAGCATTTACACTGGACACTGACAGTGAGAGTAAGAGTACACCATAAACACACACACACACCACGCACACGTACAGTGCACACAAACGAGAGACTGCATGCATAAGAGGAAAGAAAGCACATGCAAGATCACACACTCAGTGAGAAGCAGACTGAAGATGTGAGCAATGGAGAGAGAGAGAGAGAGAGGAGAGAGAGAGAGCCTGAAGGGAAAGCCTCCCACATGGTGAAGTTACATAAGAACAACTGGAGGAAAATCGAAATCTAAGTTTGGGGACAGTGCATTTATTATGCTGTTGGATTCTGCTTACACAAAGAGTGAACAATTTAATGTGCGTTTAAATCAAAAAATATTGTTATAAATTACAGAATCATCTTGCTTGTAGCTAATAGAGCAGCTAAGAGCCTTCTTAGAAGTACACATGCAGTATACATCATTATAATTAAAAGAGCATTTATTATATACTGCAGCGTTGATCCCATTATCTACCCAGTCTATAATTATAGAGATATGCATTGTTTGTCTCAGTGGTAAGCAGGCTATAAATTGCACAAAATCTGCAGTGCTTTATGCTCAAATACCAGTAAGAAAATTACTCAGGTAGAGCCAGAAGACCAGATTCTCGCAGAATCCTCTGCATGTATGTGGAGAATAAATGGCTCGTTTCACCTCCACGTCCACATTAGCCAGTTCCCCGGAGTCACAATAAAGCTGAAGATGACAAATCGCTCTGTTCCAGCCCAGGACAGCGCAAGGTCACCATTACAGTGCAAATCACACCCCTCCTGCCTTGAGTACAAACACTTTGGGGCTGCTCTCCAAGGAGACGAAGATAAGAGACAATCTAGTGCAACAGTGAATGAAGTTAATCTTTTTGCATCCCGTGCAGCTAACATAGAAATGATGGATTTGCACTAAGTGATCTCAGAGGACACCCAACTAAAGAAGATGGCCCTACAGTAGGATGTTGCCACCACTATTCACCTAGATATAACAATTCTATTATATTCACTTATCCCAACAGCACGATTTAAAGGAACAGCTCTATATCTTGGGAAATACACTCATTCTCTTTCTTGTCAATAGTTAGATTAGAGGATTGATACCACTCTCATATCTGTGCAGTATAAGGCTACAGCCAGCAGCAAGCTAGCTTAGATTAGCACAAAGACTGGAAACGGGGAAACCGCTGGCTTGTCCAGTGATAACAAAATCCACCTACCAGCACGTCTAAAGCTCACTAGTTATCATGTTATATCTCATTTGTTCGTGTTTAATCTGCACAAAAACCAAACTGTAAAAACAACATGTGGGAGTTGAGTGCTGGCCTATTTCTTGGCCGGGAGCTAACTGTCAGCAAGGAAGGGAATAAGTATTTCCCAAAATGTCACACCACCACTTTTATCACTTTCACCTAATAAAGGATTTTAGGGATTTATTTTAGTTTGCATTTAAAGATGGAGTAAAAAAAAATCATTACAATTTTTCCCCACACACGATTAGAAGCATTACAAGGCAAAGGATAGCATAAAGAGAGGAAAAAGAAACAAGACCCTAATTTCTACAAACAAGGAAGACATGCATTGACAGCATGGATACAAAGAGGCCCAATGCAACTGAGAGAGGAGGTAGAGCAGAGGGTGAGCACTCATGGTAGGAAGCAGTAGGAGAATGGAGAAGGTAGAAGGAGTCAAAAGTCACAACAGAAACAGGTCAGAGATCAGATGTTTTGTCAACCTACCATTAATTAGGCTGGCACTGCCAGGGGCATTAATGCCTGCAGCCCCATCCGTGGCTATAGTTGCGATAGGGTGGATAGGGGGATGGGAGCAGTCTAGCCATGAGGGCCGAACATGAATGAACAAAACAAACATATGCACGCACCCACACAAAAACACACGCACACGTGCACACACAAGACAATGAACAGAAATAACATGGTTATAGCACAAGTAAGAGATTCAGCATATGTAGACTGTGTGTTTGCTAAAATGTGATCATTGAGGATTACGAATGCATTTATATGTATATGTAATAACTGTTATATGAACTAACTAGTGCGATTTACCAGAGTGAAAAGGGAAAATGTCAATAAACGAACACTGGACAGACATGAAACATGAAATCTGAATATAACATGTGGAAAATATTATAACAAAAGGTGAAACCAGAGCCACAAGAAAGATAAACCTACTGTCAGATGATTTAATAAGATACATATTTGTTTCAATATACTGTATGTACTATATATACTGTATGTACTATATATATATATATATATATATAATCGTTTGTATGGTAATCAGTGGTGAGTATAGTGTATTTTACCTCTGTCATATTATGTTTTGATTGCATATTCATTTTTTGCAGTATGAATTTCATTTTAACCATGTTATTCATGTAATAGCTTTTAGCATCACAAAATCATAATTTGAGCAGGAAATCAGAAACAAATAAGCTAAAAGGTGTTGCATAAAGAATTTAAAATTAAACTCTATAATGTAAAAGTAAACAAAATGTAAAAGGGCCCAAATATTAGCTAGGCATTACACACATGTTCCAACCAGTTAAGTGATGGGGCTAATTTTTTTTGTGTCCAAATATTTGCCTTAGCCCCATTATAATTAAAATTACGGTTTTCAAAACCTGGAATGGATCTTGCAAGGTTGTGTTTATATGTTTTGACAGCAGCCACATAAACTGTAATTTATGCAAAAAGGAAATTCGCTGTTTAGTTTTGGTTTTTCTTTGTCCATAGTTCATTGTTAACAAAAACACAATGACTTATAGTAGTTTGAAAGTTTTATTACAGTTCTATACTACATTTATTATCTCACTGAAAAGCAATAGCTTCCTTAATTAAATAGCCTAACAGTAATTTTGGTGCAATTCCTTGATGGGTTTGCAATCGTGAGCAGTATTTTATCAACAAATTCATCTGAATAATACCACATTTGGCAGATTTCACCTTTTAGAAAAGTCTCACCTGCCTCAAGGTAATCCAGCCATATATGATATACTGAGTGCATGATGTAAGGTACAATTTTTTGTAAGATAATAAGAGAAATTTATATCATTGAAATTCTGGAAATACCTATTTAGATAAAATCCCGATTACTGGATTATTTTCCCTGGTTTGATCAATCTTGTCGGACTGATCATACCTGGGATAAATAATGCATCTTACCACAGTGCTACAGCCAAATCAAAACCATATTGTTGAGGCACTACAATTACAGCACAAGTCATAACAAGAAGACATGTAGTATTTGTCAGTGTTCAGATCAGAGGAAGAAAGTGTTATCCACAAAGGATGACATGTTTACTCTTATCTTATATATAATATGTCAATTCGGAGACAGCACTGAAGCAAAATGCTTCAAAAAATACAGTATGCTATCCGTGGAAGCCACCGGCGTTCCTGCTCATTGAACTACAGAGCTGTTCAAAGAGGTACAGGGAGCAGTGGCAACAAATCACTACTGATGTAAGAGTACATATGTAAGACGTAAAAATAGCATCTTAAAAAAGCTTATACTTTCTCCTTTACTCTCTACTGCTGGTACATGTGCTGTACACCTGCAAGGCTGTCATTCTCATGTCATTGTTCTGCTATACAGCAATAACATGAGTTTGACAGCCTTTCCTGTATTCATGGCATTCAACACGTCTGTGAAACAGCTGATGTTGAATGCTAGCTAGTTAGTTTGGTGGACGCAGTGCCCGTTATGGGGTAGAGGATTATGCATTGTGAAATGTGTCATCTGTCAGCACTTAAAAAGATGCAGTGTTGTGGTGATGAGGCTTCTCTTTTTAAGTGAGGAATTAAACGGGGGCAAAGGTGCTCGGCTACAGAAAAAGAGTGACGAGTAAGGGTGGTTTATTGGGGATCATCAGGGGTTAAAGATCAAAAGGATCAAGTACCACTCCCAGGGGTCAGAGAAAGGTGATACTCTACCTGTATTCTGGTGTCCGTCTTCCACTGCCCCTCCTTCGAGGCGAATTTGGAACGATAAGAGAGTAAGGACAATAATGCACCTGAACCCACAGAACCTCGATACTGCAGCTCACAACTGTACCACCATCACTCATTTCATACAATATATATATATATATATATATACACATTCAGCAAAGATGATTGTGCAGAAAGGCTAATTGTCAGGCACTGTACAACAAATTCCTACAAAAAATTCATACAATTCATGTGAGTTAAACAGGAGGACATTTGTTCATTTGAGTTTCTTTATTACCCTTCTGATAATAAGGACAGTTAAAAACACTAACGTTATGTAATGAGGCAACACAGTTAGATTTTCAGCACATAAGGTAATGAAATGACAAAAAGCTTTTTTCAAGGGTACGTTGCTGGGCAACGCTGACAAAAAAAAACAAATTACCTCAGTACTCCTGAAGCAACTGCAGAAAACTCTTAATGGACTTATTTATAAAATGATACATTAAAGATATAACCATCTTACCTTTCTTTTCTTTCTTCTCTTCTTCTTCTGTGCCGGCCCCCAGCAGGGTGAAGATGATTCCGGTCTGGGAGTTGACACCGACAGCAGTCACCACCATGCGCCCTGACCCCTCCATCACATGAGTCCCTGGAGAGCAGGCAGGAAAGTGTTATAATAATACTTAGAAACCCATAGCTGGGTTAGAAAAAGTTTCAGTGTTTGCTTAAAAAGTGACATGCTTTGTTCCTCTGTCATAAATGCGCACATTTGCATTAATGAATGTTGACCTCAACAGTGTTCTCCACCCTGATCTGACACTTCCATCTCAAGAGACACTGATAGAATAGAACAGCGCCATATAAATTATGTTCACACTACAGTTACATTACAAAAACAATATTGAGTTTCATTTACTGTTTGACTCTTCTTTCCTCTATTAATACTATAATGGTGAAATTACAACAAATGATTGTTCATTTCCCTGTTTTGCGTTCCAGTTTTATAGTCAAGTATATACTACTGTAAAACAGCTCTCCCTAATTGCAGCAACACCTCTGAGTTACTGACAAGAACATTCAATTGCCTGCTCAATAAAATGAATTGGTTGCTTTGGTTCTATATTGGTTCTATACTTAGGATCACTGTCCTGCTGCATTGACATAAAATTAGGGAACTACTGTATATATGACAAGCTTATAGAACCTCAAACATTATTAATTCACTGTTTTATTTTAAATTGAATGTGCTGGAGTTGAAACACAAAATCAGAAAAAAAATGTGTCAGTGTGCAATTACTTGCAGGCTGCACTACACTTTTGTGTATGTGAATATGTACAGTACACACATAGAAAATTATTAACCTTTGTCAGAGTAAGTCGATGTGCGTGAATAAGAGGCTAATTAAAGGAGGTGGCAAAAAAGCACACAGCTAATTATCCACAGGAAAAGATACCAAGATGTGAGATCAGATTAACCCACGTTTCAGTGATATTCTTCATTTCTAAGAATCACACAGCTGCAAATTCTGGTGTCTCTCTACTGCAGCAAATACTAAACCAATCAAGAGGAAAAACAGTAACTTCCAGGCGGTCGCCAGTGTCTTCTGCATTGATGTTCAGATTGTAATTAACGACCTTTTGTCTTCTGTCTGCGGTCATGCAATGACTGTGACTTAATTTGGTTTTATTCACAACAGATTCTGGCAAACCAAACCTAAGGCAAATAAGCAATGGCAGGCAAACCTCAATATTAAAACAACTTGAATAATTTCACTCAGGCTTTGAGATTTGACTGGCAACTGAAGTGATTATAAAAAGTAGTGATTATTTAGTAGAATTTTATATTTCTGTAATTTACTTGAAGGCAGTAAATGTTGCTACATTAGGCCAGTATGTATAACAAATCAAAGTTTATTTATTCATGCTCAGGTCTGATGCAGAGTGACACATTGGCACAAGCCCACGGGGTGGAAAATACTATAAAATATGTGGGCTTGTTTGAGATATTAATTCATTCCAAAACGCTTTCTATTTTCTAAAGATGAAGATGAAAAATAAACATCTATTGTTGTGTAAAGAAATCCATGTCAGTACATACAATATTGTTTTATAGTTTAAAGGATCAAAAAAATTGTTAACTTCAAACTCAGCAGTAAACCATTTTTACAGAGATGAAGATTTGAATGGAAGAGGAAAACTACAAAGTGCTCAGTTTCAAAGTTAAGTCCACAAATCCTGTTTTTTGTCCCTTTCTCCTTTAAACAACAACATTACATGCGGGAAAACATGACTGTGACATAGATTATACACCCATCCATCTCAAGGGAGTGCATCAACTGTACATCATACCAGATAACAGCATGGGGTCCTTGTCTGCAGACTTCCTGACGTGGTCGGACTCTCCGGTCAGTGATGACTCATCAATCTTGAGGTCATTGCCCTGGATCAACACTCCATCAGCAGGAAGCAGATCACCTGCAACAAGAGAGATGGCAGAGTTAGCGGATCAATTTATATTTCTGGATTTGATTGTTCTTCAGAAACTCCAAAGATTCGTTAGAAATGAACTTAAATTAAATTGGGTTTGAGTGGATGTGAATCAGAATAGACTGTGACCACTGTAGTATATTTTTGTTACATGCTGGTAGTATGAGAGGATGTGTGTGTTGCGCATTGTATGGGTCTGTCTGCAGCTCATTAATTGCTCAATTGTATCTTAAATATATTTAATTGCTTAAGGTGGGCCTCATAATTTTAATCCCCTTCTGGAAATGAGGTGTCTATTTTCAGTTACTTAGCCATGAAAATAACAGAAAAGCCGATCAAGAGTCAGTGGGCATCTGTTTGGTCGGATATGTACTTCAGCTTCAAATATTTAATGTAATAATTTAATCTAATGATTCTGTTTCAAAGATCTGTCAGCTATGAATTTACGCAAAGATGTTTGCAATTTGAGTTTACTGCCCTAACTGCCCGAACTGAATGTGATAAAGTGAGTAAACTTTTTCCCTTCCAACCAATTTGACAATCTCCTCATACCTACCGTATTTAATCTGTGCGATATCCCCCACCGCTATGTCAGACACGGGCAGCTGTATGACCTGACTACCACGGACCACCTGGAATTTCTGCTCCTGCTCGATGCGGTTCTGCAGCCCACGGAACTGCTTCTCCTTCGACCAGTCATTGAAGGCCGTAACCAGCACCACACACACCACAGACAACAGGATGGCTGCACCTTCGATCCAGCCAGCATCTGCCTCGCCCTCATCCTCCACCCCGCCCCCTGCCGCGCCACAGGCTGCAGTTTGGTAAACGTGACAGGAAGGCGAAGAGGAAAATTATATAGCTGTCATACATTTGCAAGCACACTTTTCATGCATGCTTACAGACTGAGATATTCTAGTACTTTCATATACAGGTATACATGTTTATCACTTATGTAGAGTAGTAGCACTTCATAATAAAAAATACACAGGGATGTAATCAACAATCACATTCACACTGGGGACTGAAAAGCTTTGGACAAAGACAGCCATGACTGCGTGAGCAATGTGTGTGTGCAAATACATTGAGGAAAAAAAGGCATTGTGTGCAATTTCTCTGTGCAATGTGTGCAATATAAAAGGGAACTCATGAAATGAACCTTTTCATTAATTTGCTCCACTTCATATGAAGGCCCTGCTATCCACTAGCTGTGCACTGACAGACTGGAGTGTATTTGAGAATGAAACAACGCCTATTCCCTGTCCTCCTCATGCTGCTTCTTCTAATGCTCTGGGAGCGATTGTGCTCTACACTCCGGGCCAAGTGACTTCAAAAGCCCCCAGTGGGGTAATTTGCTTTGGACTATATAACACATGGAGCTCACAAGTGAACTAGTGCAGACCCAATATTATAGACATTACATATGCAGACTCTAATTTAACTAACAACTAGACTCTAAGAGCAATTTTGACTTACTGGTGCACTAAAGAGGGAATCCACCCAACCAATAGGATACACTGCATGCAGTAACAAAAAATATTCTCTTTGATCTGGAAAACTACCAGTATCAATGCACACATATGTACTCATATAGGTTTTAAAAAAAAGAGAGACATATTTAAATAAAATTTTAAAAATGTATTTGTTTGTTCTTTTCACATTGTCCTATGAGGAAAAGTAATTTTATTCCACCGAACATTTTCTGATCATGTTTGATCAAGGAAAATGAGTTCCTGATTTTGACGAGTGACAGCTCAGTTTTAGAGATTCAGAACTCGTGTAACTCCTTACAGATTATGCAAAATTATATTCAGACTGACATACTGTAGGTATGTTAAGTGAAGACATTTTACTGTTCAAAAAAACAATGATCAATAAAGACTCCAAGAAGCAACTATGAAAAAAATAACGTAGCGAACTATAGCTCTTATAGTATGTAGTTAAATAATAAAATACAATAGTGCAGTCAATTATTTAAAGCATTTCAATTTTATGTAGCTATCCATGGTCCTGATTGTACAACTGTGGTGCAAATGCAAATGAGTGCACAAAATATGTTCTGTCTTTCTCATAGAAAGACACTCACAATGATGCAGAATATGTGTAGCTGTCCATGGTGCTGAAGTGCATACAAAACACTCAAGCCAGAAAAAGCACAAAGTAATCTAACTAACATTTGCAGCTGATTGACAAACTTACGACCAGGTGGCATGTAAATGAATAAATAAATGTCTATAAGCTTCAAAGGCAGTTTAACGAATTGGTTTGGATACTTTGCCAAACCATGTTGGTTTCAGTGTCTACTGTATTTTTCACAGTTTTGTTTTGTTGCATGTTGTGTGTTTGACACAGACACAATCAAGAGCCTACTCATTCAACTGTAGCCAAGCCGTTTCATATGTAAATGAGAATTAAGTCATCCTATCACCTTCTATTTCTGGACCACAGAGCTTTTTTTTTCTTTTTTTTTTTACCTATTTATAGACAAAACCGTAAACCAGCAGTGAGAGATGTGTGCTTGTGAATCAACACATCAGAACAATATAATAAACTAATATCAGTATAGAATATTTTTTATGTATTACATTAAAGGGAGTTTATAATATACTGTCAGGATGTTATAACTGTTGAATTTATACTTAGATAGTCAGACTTATTGCTGTAAATTGACAGTAATTTTATATGTAGTTTTTCTATCAAATCTGGTCAAATGTATTGCATCAGGACCTCATCTCATTTTCAAGACGGTAAAGTCAGCCATAAAAGTATCACGCCTTAGTACACATCTCTGTCAAGTCACTTAAACAACCAAATTTGGGGGATCATTGCCATAAATGTTGTCATATTAAATAAGAAAAGAACTATCGGTCAATATATCATCCTTACTATCAGCAATGTTTTACTGTCAAATTTTGTTATGAGTCACAAAAAAAATTAAGTCTATAAAAATAACTTTATTATCACAAAAATGAGATGGTATTTTAGTTGGGCTCCGCATCTAAAAATATCCATACATCTCTATGGTTGTATGTCTTTCTCTCTGCTGTAACACAAACATACATCTATTTTATGTTTTTCAGAATAAAGTGATGATTTGCATTCATATCTTTCTGAATCACTCTGCTATTCACATCCATTCATATCCGCAGGAGTTTATGTGAGACTTGCATATTGGCACCTTTTTTTTGCCGCAAGTTAAAGGGAAGCTTGATTATGTATCTGCAGATGGACGCAGTTATTAGCATAATCATTCCTTTGGTATTTCTCAGCTTTATTTGGTCTTGGTGATGCTTAGAGCTCATTCATAAAATGATGCAGCTCAAAAGATGTACAGAAAACAGGAAAAGTATGTAGGTAAAAGGACCAATTTTAATTGATGGAATTCCAATTGATCATTAATTATAACTACAAACTATAAAATTAATTAATACAGAAATCATTTGATTAACTAACCTGGTACTTCTACCTCCATAAGAGTGTTTAAACCCTTTAAAATGATGACTGGTCTCTTTGGCAGGGTAACTGAATTCCATTACTGTGATAATGCTGGTAGCAATGAGTGATGTTGCTGACTCAGCATCTCGTTATGGCCTCTGTCTTCATTTCCTGTTTCACGGCTCACAGGGCTGATGTATGGGCCCTGGGAGCTCAAGGTTATTTCTCTACTCAACACTTCATTAACCTTCCTGGTACCTTTCATACGCACATCTAACACATTCATAATGTGCATGCATGCAGGCACACACACACACACACACACACACACACACACACACACACACACACACACACACACACACACACACACACACAGATACAAAAATTAGCCCGAAGCTCGATGAGTCACTTGACCTCTTGAGGCAGGTCACAAACAAAGTGTGACCTGCCTCACCAATTAAAATGTGTGGGTGCACACATGTAGGTGTAATTGTGTCAGTGAGTGCCTTGAATGTCAGAGGAAGTGATGTCAGTGGGCCAATGCAATTATAGTCCTTTGCTGTCCTCTGCAATAGTGGAGATACCAGAGAGAACTGTGTGTATGTGTGTGTGTGTATGTGTGTGTGTGTGTGTGTGTGTGTGTGTGTGTGTGTGTGTGTGTGTGTGTGTGTGTCTCAAGACCTCGAAACGAATGACAGAGAGAAATTTTACTGGAAGTGATGTCACAGGAGCTGCTTTACTCACACTCTCCTCCGCCGCTCTCTCCAGGGGGGTGGTAGAAGGAAAGGCCGAGGGAGATCAGTGCGGCGAGCTCAAGGATGATGAGGGTGACATCCTGCAGAGCCTCCCATACCAGCTGCAGGAAGGTTTTTGGCTTCTTTGGAGGTATCAGGTTTTTCCCAAATATTTCTTTTCTCTTGTCCAGGTCAGGCTGGGCACCTGCAAGACCTGGGAGAGGAAGACCGAACAGAGAAGAGGGAAAAAGAATGAGAGATTTATTGATAGTACTGCACATCACTGCACAGTGATCAGAGTGTGCAGGATATTCTTACTGATATAGTGCAGTTTAATTTTGTGTATATTAATGGTTAACAATAACAGCCATCTGTTTTATTTTTACATTTGATCCAAGAAAGTCACAATTTTTATCCCTACACACAAAAATTCAGTTGGAAACAGCAAATGGAACCACAGTCGTTTTACAGTTTATAAAACACTTTTATTGTGAAAATCTCTGATCTAAAGCCAGCTTTGTAATCAGTCTTTTTTCTTGCTTTCCTTTTTATTTCTGCCTTTCTTCTTCTCTTTCTCACTCTCATACCACACACAAACCATCTCTAATTACCAGTTTGAGTCATTGCGGGCCACGGCTCTGTGTTCCTTATATAATTCTGCTCAAGAGATGAGGGCCTTGTGCTTTGACCTCATCCACCTCCTCATACACCATGAAATACTGTACATAAATATCTTTTGCTCTTTTTATCTGAACAACTTCACACTGGCTCGAGGCACAATTTACTTTTAGACTATTGTCCAGAAAATTATTCTTATACATTAGCTGAAATAACATGGCAAAAGGACCAACTACATCATATACAGTGCATTTGCAAGAGATCTTTTGAATTTCATTATCCAAACAGCATTATCACCAAGGAGTAGCGTTTTGTGTGCAGTTGTACTTTTTTTATTTTGAATCACAGAACACACATGTTCTATGCATGCGGTGCATTAAATTCAATATCATGCGTTAATATAATTTATGGACCTTAAAATTGAGTACATTTTGCCTAAACTACTGTACTTATATATTATAAAGTAAAAAAATGATAAATGTTCATATATACTAAATAACATTTTTCACAGCTACATCGGTGAATCAGAAACTGCCATGAACTGTAAACTATATCTACATCAAACCTTCACAAGGCTATGGAGGCATGGGAATTTGTGCTATATATCTTCAGTTAAAATTATTCATAAAAGATTTCTATCCAGCTTTATTATTGGTCCGTATACGGCTGCTTTTCAGTGCAGTTCCATTATCTGGTTGCCGAGCACACACACGAGCACAGAGTGTATTCATCGTCTCTCTCTATCTGTGTCTCGCTCCCTCACAACCACAGACATTACCACAGCATTATGTCACACATGGTGCGTCACTGGGTCTCCCAGGAGTGGCCCTGGATTGCACCTGATAACATTGCTGCTGCATGACACTGTTTCACATGTCAACACATATGACTGTGATATGCCTTATTGACATCTGCAGAAAATAACCGATCATCCATCCGCATCTGACTCCAAAGAAAGAGGAACGAAGAGAGACGGTGACAGAGTTGCAGTGTGAAAAACAAATGCTTAGAAACTGCAAAAAAGGCGAAAACAGAGAAAAGAGATCAGTTTCACTCACTTGAAAAAGGAAGGAGGAGTTGCAAAGAGGGAGAAGGAGAGGACAGAAGGAGGGCAGGCTGAAAAGAGAACAATTCCAGCTCCTACGTAGGAGAATGCCCTGGTTACAAATAGATCAGGCTATAAATAGCCTCATTATCCATTCTCTTTTAATTGTCTCTGTGAGAGGACCTAGCATGGTCTTCCATTGATCTCCACAGCACCCTGCCTCACATCACACACAAACATGTCTGTGTGCATGTGTGTTTGTTTGTGTGTATGTGTGTGGGTCTTTTGAGTCGTGACCGCCTGCACGTGGTTTGTGTGTGTGTGTTTGTGTGTGTGTGTGATAAGGCTGGCCAAGCATGCCTGCAGTTACTTGCACTATCACACTGTAAAACTAGAGCTCATATCATCAGGCTTTAGCCAGTTCCAGTTGGTTAGACACACACACACACACCCACACAGGTTCGCATGGTTTGGACAGCACACAAGGAACACACAGTTTGACATCACAGCATCACACACACACCTATCGACACACACACACAGATGCTCACACACACACACACACACACACAGGCACACACACACAAGCAAGCAGAGATGAACATATTCATACATATCCACATTCAGCTTGTGTCGAACCCCTTCCATCTTTTTAGCTAGGTCAGGTGCACATTAGATACAACATTTACTCATATTTCTATTCAATACTGCTTCCACAAAAAAAATTTCTATGGTGGTAAAAAAACAAACGCATATCCCACCTGCTCCATATTTTCTAGCGTGCAAATGCACTTTTCTGCATCTGGGAAACGATCAGTTCACAATAAATATTACATTCTGTATACTCTAAGTTATATATGTGATAGGTACTACTGTATAAGATGCTGCATTGTTTCAGAGTGACATTTAACCTTGTTAAATGTTTTAACTGCATTCTCCTTAAATGCCCTTGAGATGTGAGCTATGCTGTAATCAATCTCCCTAATCATTAAATACTCATTGCTTCCTGGAAAATCCTCTGCTACATTATCATTTCTTCCTGGATCGTTGATTGCAGTGCTGCTTACAGCTAAAGATTCATTTGCCAGATTTTGAAATATTGCAGGCTAAATACTGTCAGCCCACCTAACTGCTCTGGCAGTGGATTTTGAGGAGGCAGTGAGAGGGCAGAAAAACTCTGGCGATACACAGATGAGTCACAACATTCTCAGAAAGGATTAAGGCTGACTGCAAATGAATCTTTGTGCTAGAGCTCATTACCAAGTAGTGAAGCCTGAACAGATAATAATATACTGGCAAACTACTGTATACTAAAAGAATATGATCGATCGATGGGGATAGATGTGAAACTACTGGTATAATGGATAATTTATGTTAGTAAAGCACATTGTAATTGTTCTTATGAAGGTTGAAACGGTGAACGGCTTTTGGAAAGGAAATTTCAGTCCACCTATGAAAAATGACAAATGAGATGGGAGATGATGCACTATTATCAGCATTAAATTGAAGCTCCTTTTTAGATCGTCAGCTGATGGACCTTACAAACAGTGGGTATCCTGGTGAGTCAGCAGACTGAGTCAAAAGCCATTTACTGTACTAGCAATGCCTCCTGTGTTTTAACCAAATTTATGAATTTGGTTAGATGTCATCAAACCATTCTCCCTTATTTTCTGCCTATTTTAATAATTACCAAATCTGGCCATATTTGATTGTGTGCATTAGACTGCTACTGTTACAATTTTTAATGCCCATGGGAAAACTTATAATTATGGTATTCATTGTGAAAATTACTACAGCATAAATTATCAGTATGGGCTTCTTTGGTTCTCTGGGTTCAGGGTGAAGAGAAGCTGCCTCTGCTGCTGTAATTTAACTTACAAGTTGGCTCTGAAAGGAGCCACTCTAGAGCATCTAAGAAACATGACCATGCAGTTTGGCATAGTGACAACACTAATCTAATTATAATAAAATACAATACCATTAAAAATACAATGATTATACTTGGGCTGGAACAGATGTTTTTTCCAATCAATCAGTCAATAACTTTACAGATTTATCATATATTGTTTTCTCTAAAAAATATCAAAAATTGTTTGTATTGTGTGACAAGCAGAAACTTATTATAGGTTATAGGTTATAGGTTATTATATGATTATTTAAACAGAGAAAGGGAGCAACTATTCACAAGGAGAAGCTGGAACAGTAAATATGTGGCACTTTTTTCTTAATATGCAACTTAACTGATGATAAAAAACTGGTGTCAATTACTTTGCTGTCAGCTGACAAACTGATTGACTAGGTCACAGTCGTATTATTTATGACCAAGATTTACAGACATTTTTTAAAACTTGATGAGGATTAAACTTTGAATTTCTCTAACCTGTGTCTTCATCATTCTTACTCTATAATTTATGGCTAGTAATGCACTGATCTGTCAAATGCAGCAGGATCTATGATTCAAATCTGCTTTGACAAACAGTACCTACCTAACATCCTGTTTCCAAAAAGACGAGAGGGAAAAAAAAAAAAAAAAAAAAAAAAACTTGATGCCATCCTTTCTGCATGAGAGGAAATGTAATTTTTTCAGTCAGAGGGAACATGATGGCATATTTTAACAGTTGGCCCTTTTTTGTCACTGGCTAAAAATAGATCTCCATGGAAACACTATGCATCCCACTCCTTCAGTGGAAATACCCGCGACTCTGAACCTTGGAGAACATGTGAATATGTAAGTAAGTGTGTCTCTGTGTGTATATGAGTGTGCGTTTTGTGTCCAAGAGCATGCATGTATGCATGTGTATGTGTGTGCAAAGGTACATTCCAACAAAGAAAAGACAGCAAAGAATGAAAAGATGTGATGACCTTCAAATGTCCTTGTAAAATAGGCATGCCATTGTAGAGCAGCAAACAAACACCATTTATCAAAAACAAATTATGTCATGTCTAACATGTCTTGTTGGGTCTTAGCCATATAACCCCGCCGGTAGGTGGGCCCACCCCCCCGCTCACCTCAGCGGTGTCCCCTTCGTTGTTACGTTTTTCCTGCCTGTCTGCATCAACTTTTTTCCCCCCCTTCACAATACTGTGAGCCACACTGTCCAAAACAAGTCACCATGGCAACAGGGTTGTGCAATCATTATCAGCATTATAACGACGCAAAATATTGATGCTTTTTTCTGCAGCGAATCAATAGCTTCAACATGCATTTTTTTCAGCTTTCACCATTTTAAAGAGAGAGAGAGAGAGAGAGAGAGAGAGAGAGAGAGAGAGGGGAATGAAGAGAGAAGACAGAGAGGGTTGAAGTGTGACTCACAAAGCACAAGAGAGTGAGGAAAAGAGGGAGACAGCGACCGAAACGGAGAATGAGAGTAGGCTGGATGTGGAGTAACTCTATGAATAATAACCCATCAGTGGCTAAAAGGTGGATAATTATCATGCTCTTATTAGAAGATGGAGTGATGGAGAAATGTGTCACAGCATCCTTGAGAATGACCTCTATAATAATGACACCATTTTATGCCATAAAAGAGGAGAGGTTTGTTACTGTGCAT